TCCTTGCCCCCTGGGTCTCGCCATAGGGGTGCTTTCAGAATGGCAGCCAGGAATGATCCGAGAGAGAGAGAGAGAGAGAGAGAGAGGCAGCGAGGGCCCAAGACAGAATGCTCGGTTTCATACTTCCTAATCTCAGAAGTGACATACCATGACTTCGACCGAGCCTGGTATGATGCGGGAGGGGACTACACGAGGCTGTGAACACCAGCCCCCAGGGATCCCAGGGACTATCTTAGAGGCTGGAACCACATTTCCAATTTTGGCTGTCCTCTCTTCCTACTTTATTCATTTTCTTGGGATATCTCAACCATTTTATGAGGCTGCTTCTACCAGTGAGCAACAATTTGCTAATCATTCTTCTGATGGCTAACTTTCCCTCTGGAGTGCCGGAACCATTGATCCAATTGCCTGGGTGCCTCCTCTGAAATATCCCACAGGTGTCTCTATGTGGCTTACCCCAGGCCTTCCTTGAGCCTCACTGTCTGACAAATAGTGTTCTGCACTGCACTAATTTGACTCCTCCATTAGACTGTAAGCTTATTAAGGGTGGGGACTATGCCTTCATTATTTGGATATTCTCAATATTCAACACAGTGCTTAGCATGAAGCAGGTGCTTATCAAATACTTGGGCCCAGGTGAGCCATTAGTCCTGTGTATTGCCAGGGGCCCAAGCCATTGGGGAAGGGCAGTTTCACTGGCTTTAGGACTGAGGTCTATGGTCGCATTTTGGGCTGGCTTTGAACTCAGCTCTGTGTCCCCCTCCAGCTGAGCCTATAGGCTGCCTGTCCTGCCAGCTGCCCCCTCCCTTCCATAGTGTGGGGTCTGGAACTGCTTGGACTCATGGGTCTGTCTGTTTCTGCTGTGTGTGAGAGTCTGAGGACGGCTGGACTGACAGGACTGGGTCGCTGGTAAGCGGTCTGTGCTGTGCTCTGCAGAACATCACTTAGTAAGTACTTTCTGCACTTTCCCCCAGGCTCCCTGTCCCCAAGTTGCTTCCTCCCCAGCTGTGGGAGAGGCCTTTTCTCGTTTCCACCTTTCTTAATTCTAGGACTGTAAATTCCCCGAATCCTTAAGGTTTTCAGATAGAATCAGCAATGCCTGAAACCCAGCCTGCTGCCCCCTCCCGTGCTGGCACGCAGCTGCAGACTCCGTGGCGGTGGAGGGGCCCCTGACCCTTACTCTAGACAGACAAGAGCACAGCCAGGTGAGGCTGAGCCGGCACCACCTCGGCTCAGGGAGTGATGCTGTGCCTATATTGGGGTCAGTGATGCTAGAACGGCCCACCTTCACCCCTTTTTACTTTTTGTGCCAGTGCTTCTTCCTCTTTGGCTCTGCCTGCAGCTCCGTCTTGATTTCCTACCTAATTCTCATAACAAAGCTCTTGCAGCTGTCAGAGCCCTTAGGACCACCAACTCAACTCTTCTGACTGAGAAGCTGATGGAGCCAGAGAGGGGGACAGACTTGCCCAAGATCACACAGCTTCTGTTGACATCTCCCTTGTCTCTCTCTTTCCCAATTTTCAATGTTTCTAATGATTACATGTCTCTCCTTAGTCTTTGCTTTATTTCCTTTTCCTTTTCCCTTCTCTTCTCTTTTTGGACCCAGCGGTGAGGGCCATCCACCTCCACGATGGGACTAGGGTGAGGGTGTGCCCTTTTGGCTTCCCCTCCCCTGCAGGTGGGCATCCGAATTGATCACCATGGGAGGGGGAATCAGAGTGGGCAGTGCCAGACTCAGAGGCCACTGCATTCGACCTGCATTTGACTCCGGCCCAGCTGGCTGCTTCAGAGGAAAGCGTGCGTGAGAATGAGGGGAGAGAGAGCCAGAGCCTGGGCCCCGGGAAGTGGCTCACTCAATCTCAGGCCCTGGTCTAGGGAGACCTCAGTGGGGAAGGGGACCCACAGGAGATAGATGAGGCCTGACCAGTCTCTCTGTACTTCACCTGCAATAGCCCGGGGCTACTTTTCCTTACAAGTGGGGCAGCTTTCCTGAAAACCACCCAGCAGGGCTTGGTGAGAACTGTAGGCCGCAGGCTTGCTGAGAGATGAAAACAGCTTCTCAGAGGTGCTATAACTCCAGCCTTCCAGCAGGGGGTGTCCTGTCCCGACAAAATGCAAGTCCTCTTTTCCCTATCGCCCTCCCGGCAAAGGAGACTGAGTCCCCTGGCTGTTGATGGGGGTGATCTGTACTTGTAGCTGAGGGGACAGGAGTCCCCCAGGGGCCATAACAGTGTTTAGAATCTGGTGTCCTGTTTCAGAAAGGTAAGACCATCAGAAGCCGAAACCCCTCATCCCCTCGAATGAAAGGCTGTAAATATGACCTTGGAGAAAAGAGAGAGAGTGTGTGAGAAAGAGAGAGAGGGAGAGCGAGAGAATGAGCAGAGTGAAAGCAGCTGGGATGAAAAAGCAAGGCAGCCTAGGATCTTCAAAGGGTGTTTTTGGAAATATGGTATCAGAAGAGACAAAAATTGAAAACCAAGACTCTGCCTCCCAAAGCAGCTTTTGGTCACCTTCGTTATAACATTGATACAGATAGATATTTATTTAATCTGAACTTTCTCCACAATTCCTGAGCAGCACCCATTCACTTATCATGTATAGATACCAACCTCTAACTCTAGGGAACTGGGTTATGCAAGGGTTGCTAAGGAACGAGGGGAGATGCAGTAGGTAAGGCAGGGTTGCTTAGTAACCAGGAGTCCCTTGGTGATGGAGTGGCCAGGGCAGGTCTGAAACTGATGAGGGTCTGCGGACAGAGTCAGCCCACACCAGAGCCCCCTGAAAGGGCACGTCTGTTGGCACCTGGACCCAGAGATGCCAAAGACTGCCTCTTTTTGGCTCCCTGGTACTGCCCCTCTCCAAAAGTACATCCCAAGTCCCTAAGTGTCCTCTGTAATCCTTTGCTCCAGCCGTGCCTTCCCCACCTCCCTCGGCAAGAAGTGAATCAGATTCTTTATTCAAGAATGGGCAGGCCTCCCGAGCAAGCAAATGGGAATCTCACTTTGGCGGAGGCAAGAGCCTCTGGGCTCACACTGATGTGGAGCTGGGAAGTTTGGGGTTTGGGGGAAGAGAGTCCCCTAGGCAAGTGTCTCTGACATATTTCCAGTTCACGGGGAAATGTCTTCATCCGAGTGTCCCATGCCAGTCCCCACCCTGCCTTCACACCTGCGCATGTCTAGGGTGGCCCACCCCTTCCTTTCCATTCCCGAGGGCATCCTGGGGGCATGGGTCTCAACACTGCAGCCTGGCTTGGGGCTACTTGGTGAGTCCAGGCTCCTCATAGCCTCCCTTCAGATAGCTTCACTTCAGCCCAGCCTGGCAGAGTCATCATGCAGGCATTTGGAATCTCAGTCCACTTTCTCACCAAGAGTCTCCTCTTCTCTGCTCTCCAGGCACAGAGGTGGCTCTGCTTCTCCCAAACACTGTGGACACTCACACCCCTCTGTTCCTCCTCTCGGGCTGTGCCCCTGGACTAGATCACTGATCCCGCTGCTTCCCCATCAGACCCTCCTTCACTTTCTAGGTCCTATTTATCTGCAACTTCCCTAGTGATGATTCTCCCAACTTGAGCAGAATGAGCCATGCTCCCCTGTATGGTACTGACTTAGCTGAGCATCCCTGATCTCAGGCCTGCAGGGCTCCGTGGCCCCAGATAGGGAGTGAGTGGAGCTGCCCAAGGAGCCCACTAGTTTTCTGCTTCCATTACTACCCAGCAGGATGCTCTCGGAAAACTGTTTGTGGATTAAGTGTTTATACACCAAAGCTGCTTGTTTCAAAGCCCATTGTGCAGAGCATCTCTGAGAAAGTATTTGAGACACTGGCAAGTTTGCCTCCAAGAAGAGACCTGGGAAACTTAGCTTTTGAACTAATTTCGAACTGCTTGAATTAAAAAATTTATCATGAGCAGATAATCTTGAATTTTTAAACATTTTGATTGTGAAGTATAACAAACACATAAAAAGTATATATATGTATATATGCATGCACAAAACATATAGATCTTAATGGATTTCATATAATCATAAAAAGGAATACCAGTACCCCAGAAGCCCTCAGTTTGCCCCACCCGAGTCATAACCACTTTTACCCTAGGAATATCCACTTTCCTGACTTTTGTGAGAATCACTGCCTTGCTTTTCCCTGCAGTTTTATCAACTGTTTGCATACTTACACAACATAGAGTTGTTTTTGCCTGCTTTTGAAACTTGTGTATCTTTTTTAGATTCATTTATGTTGTTCAGGGTAGTTTCAGTTCATTAATTTTCATTGCTGCATAGTATTCCACTATATAAGTGCAACCCAATTTGTTTCTCTACCATTAATGGACGTTTGGGCTTGGTTCCAGTTTGAGGTTATTACAAAGCATGCTGCTGTGAACACTCACGTGCAGGCTCTTGACACACATGTGGCTGCCCTCCTGGGCTGTGAAAATGCAGTCAAAGGGCTGTCTGTTCAACTTCCCTGGACAGTGTCAAACAGTTTTCTGAAATGGTTGTGCTTTTGTTCCCTCCAGCTTTGACTAAGAGTTTCTGTTGATTTCTACTCTTTCAACTAGAAGCAGTTCATTAAAATTGATCATTGGTGTAATTATTTGTTTGGTGTCTGGCATCCTCACTCCACTGAGTGAGCTCCATGGGTAGGGGCTGGGGGGCATGGTTTACCAGGGGTCCCAGCATCTACTGTCCAGTGCCCGACACGTTGCAGGTGCTCAGTGCCCGCTTATCAAATGAATGGGAAAATAATCCTGCCTACTGAATGTTGGATCTCACATTCTAATTTGCCAGTTTTATAAATAAAGAATTTCCACGAAAGTTTCCCTGACCTGAGGCTCATCTGTTTGAAATTCCCCCGACCAGCCCAGTTCTCTCCCACTCTCTGCTGCTGGCCTTGTCTGCCAGGGGAAATGGGGGTAGACCACCGTCTTGCTCGTTGATGGCATCAGTCATAAGTGAAGTTGATTCTTTCCCCTAGGGCCGAGTCCAGCAGGAAGCAGAGCGGGCATGGGCCGCCATGCTCCAAGCAGTGGCCCGAGTCCCTGCAGCCTGTTCAGGGCCTGTGCTGGGCTCTCTGCACCGCTAAGCAGCAGTGGAATAGACCAAAATGACACCCTGGCCAATCGGGTAGGTAGTCGTGGTCACAGGGTCCTCTGATGGGCGAGTGCCCCATTGCCCTGTGGGTCTTGACCCCTCACAGGGACCCTTACTTGCACTGAAGGACTTCAGGGCTGTAAGAGCAGCCTTTGTGGATTTCCAGGGCTGGGAGGGGAGGAGAATGGTGGCGAGGAGCTGAGGCTATCTCCTTCCTTCCACTTCTACTGCAAGATCGGCTTGGCCTTCGCCTGGCATCTGGTCCAGGGCGGGGCCCACGTGGTGGTCAGCAGCCAGAAGCAGGAGAGCATGGACTGGACGGTGGCGGTACTGCAGGGGGATGGGCAGAGCGTGACGGGCATCATGTGCCACGTGGGGA